AAATCAAAACCGTGACCCTTTTTAATTTTTATCTTAATGTTTTTATTTAGTTTCAGAGGATAAACTAGTGGGTTTCCCCAACTATTTTTAACTGAAATTTCTTGTTTTAATGTATGGACGACCTGAACATAGCATACTAGTATATAAAATTTAAAATACTATTATAATACATTGTCTTTATTTTGATTTTCACTGGACCTTTGCTATTATTCATAGATATTATAATGAAAAGATGTGGTATGAGTGCCAATGAGACAATTTGTAAAAGTAAACCATTATAGGTCAAAGTACTTTCTTCAAAACGGATCATTGGCGCACACCGAACAGCAAGCTATAAAGGGCCCCAAAAGATGACTAGTGTAAAAGCATTCAAACTGGAAAACCAACGGTCTAATCTATATAAAAAAAAAACGAGAAACGAGAAACACTTGTGAACCACATCAACAAACGACAACCACTGAACATTAGTTCCTGATTTAGGACTGGTGCAAACAAATGCAGCGGGTTTAAACGTTTTAATAGGTACCAACCTTCACCCATACCTTAAACAATAGTGTAAAATCACAACATAGAAAAACACACTATAAAATATCCTATCATATTTAATCATCCCCTGATTAAAGATATAACTTATTGATTGTGCTGCAATGCCCATTAGAGGGGTTACGGAGGACCTAAATGCCAATATACGCGTGAAAATTAAGAAATAGCCAATTTTGAATAATGTAATAGATATTTTGAATAATGGAATGGACTGCTGCGACCCTTCGCCCCAAATTACAGAAATACCTATTAGAAAGCTTATCAATGGAGGAACAAAAGGCTTATAATCAATATGTTCCGCAACGCCTATTAGAGGAGTTACGAAGGACATAAATGTCGAAATACGCGTGAACATTAAGAAATGGCTTATTTGGAATAATGGAATGGACTGTTACGACCCTTCAGCCCCTAATTACAGAAAACTTCATATTCCATTTGAAGGCTTATTGATAGAGGAACAACATGAATATAATCAATATGTGCCGTAATGCCGATTAGAGGGGTTACGGAGGACCTAAGTGACAAAATACGCGTGAAAATTAAGAAATAGCCAATTTTGAATAATGGAATGGATATTTTGAATAATGGAATTGACTGCTGCGACCCTTCAGGCCCGAATTACAGACATACCTTATACGTCATTCGAAAACTGAAGGCTGTAGCAGTCCATTCTATTATTAAAATAAGGTATATATATAAACTATTTCAGTATTCATTATTCATCACTAAACATTGAATAGTGAATAATGAACTATTTCATTATTCATTATTGAATTTTGAATAATGAAAAATGAATTTTGAATAATGAAAAATGAATAATGGACGTACTTCAGCGTGGTTGTTATACCATAACACCATCTTCGTATATTACCATCTTATATTAGTACCGTTGTGCAAATCTTTAGACCTATATAATTTTTTCCTTGTCAGCGCAGCATCGTCTATTCTAGACGATCCGGCACCTATTAAATTTGTTGTTTGATCCTATTTACAGACTTATATATACATAACTAGTGATCCGTTATATATATATATATATATATATACTAGTCTAAATTGAAAACAACGTTCAAACCTATGATTGCGTTGGATAAAAACCGCAATTTTTATACGTGTGCATGCAAAACAAAGTTCTTGATAGAGAGGTCTAAATAAAGCACAAACAAGATTTTCCAAAAGCTCATAAAATGTGAAAAAGTATATTTTAACAAAACGCATTTGACTAGCAGGTCGAACAACTGATGTTCTTAAACCCTGCTGACTGCCATTGGCGATTGCCGAATAAAACGATCACAAGATGTAACAAAATGGATCTTATTATTAATTTATTACCAAACAGAAAACAATAAACTTGCGGAAAAGATGGTATACCGCAAACATGAGGTGCAAAAATTTGTACACCATATCCGGATTTCGACAATTAATGTCTCTTCAGTGATGTTAGGGATCGAAACGGTATTTGGAAGGCCATATAATTTACCTCAATTTAGGATAGACTCTTGAATTTTAAAGAGTCGAAATAGGTTGAACGGATCATATAAACCCGAAGGAAAATATAATACAAGCCCAAACCTATGATTGCATTGGATAAAGACCGCAATTTTTATACATGTGCACGAAAAACAAATGTCTTGGGAGAGGGTTCTAAATACAGCACAAACAACATTTTCCAAAAGACCAAACAAGTAAAAAAGTATATTTTAACAAAACGCATTTGACTAGCAGGTAAAACAACTGATGTTTTTAAACCATGTTGACTGCCAAATAAATTGATCACGAGATGTAACATGGATCTTAATTATTAATTTAATACCAAACAGAAAACAATAAACTTGCGGAGAAGATGGTGTACCGCAAACACGAGGTGCAAAAATTTGTACACCATATCCGGATTTCGACAATTAATGTCTCTTCAGTAATGTTATGGATCGAAACGGTATTTGAAAGGCCATATAATTTATCTCAATTTAGGATAGACTGTTGAATCTTAAAGTGTCAAAATAGGACGAACGGATCATATAAACCTTAAGGAAAATATAATACAAGCCCAAACGAAAAAATATAAACAAGTCTAAATTGAAAACAATGTTCAAACGTATATTTGCGTTGGATAAAAACCGCAATTTATGTACGTGTGCATGTAAAACAAATTTCTTGGTAGAGGGGTCTTAATACAGCACATTAAAAAACATTTTCCAAAAGACCAAAAAAGTGAAAAGTATATTATAACAAAACGCATTTGACTAACAGGTCGAACAACTGATGTTCTTATATATATATATATATATATATATATATATATATTTCGACTCTTCAAAATTCAAGAGTCTATCCTAAATTGAGGTAAATTATATGGCCTTCCAAATACCGTTTCGATTCCTAACATCACTGAAGATACATTAATTGTCGAAATCCGGATATGGTGTACAAAATTTTGCACCTCATGTTTGCGGTATACCATCTTTTCCGCAAGTTTATTGTTTTCTGTTTGGTATTAAATTATTAATAAAGATCCATTTTGTTACATCTTGTGATCCGTTTATTTGGCAATCGCCAATAGCAGTCAGCAGGGTTTAAGAACATCTGTTGTTCGACCTGTTAGTCAAATGCGTTTTGTTTAAATATACTTTTTTCACATTTTTGGTCTTTTGGAAAATGTTGTTTGTGCTGTATTTAGACCCCTCTACCTAGACATTTGTTTTGCATGCACACGTATAAAAATTGCGGTTTTTATCCAATACAATCATAGGTTTGAAAGTTGTTTTCAATTTAGACTTATATATCTATATATATATGTAACACTCAGAAACGTGTCCTTCCCCCCAAACGTGTCCGATTCCCCCAAACGTGTCCACATGACGCCACTGAACTGCAAAACAAGTCCAAACGTGTCCATTTTTTTATAAACACCCAAACGTGCCCAATCCCCCAAACGTGTCCATATCAAGCTTAATTTTTTCTTTTACTGGAACTATCATTCGTGTCCATATTATAAATACGTAGGTTATTTTAAGTTATTGTTTTTTCATTAACGTATACTCATTTTATTATTTCATTAAAAAATAGAAATAAATTACTTTAGGTCTTTTTTAAACCGGCAGTTTAACCTGGTTAAAAGTGGGGGCGTCCGTTCGGCTATGTTGGATGTAAATGTAAGCAGCCATGCTCAGTTAAATTGTAGATATTAAATCAGATACCTCGTGTAGGGAGAACTTTTATTTAAAACGGCCTCTATTACATAACGGAGATTGCAGTAGTTTCTTACTGAAGTCATAAAAAAATCGGTCTTCACTCGCTCTTATTTTTTTTAGATTAAAATCCCAACTAGTGTCAATCCCGAATAACCGTCAAAATTTAGGCCCAATCCTAAATTCCCGGTATGATAATAGAACCTATATACAGTATTTATTGTCAACATGATGTCGTTCTAATAATGCATGAAATATTGGCACTTGACGTTATTTCTCTTGTTCGTGTGTCTTTAGTCAAGTTTAGTGATGCTCGAAACCTAAAATTTATTAAAAACCTGAAAACCAGTTTATGATTTGAAGAGCTTTTAAAATATCAGAACTGTTGAAAAGAAGGGAAGTCAATTCTTCTAAAAGCCCGCCGTCGGATTAATATAAAAGGCATCATAGGAGTTAATTAGTAACACATAATTTACATAGTAAACCATTAATTCAACTGCACTAGAATTATTTGTATGTTCGCTCTAAATGAGCATGAAATACTTGCAACTGGACAATAAGCAAATTCAGTTTAAAGTTAATTCATATGTTACATATTACATTTGCAATTATGATAATCATTAACAACCGGCATTGAACAAACTAATGCTAATAAATTACTACCTCATCAACTGTTTCCCCCATCATAGAATTGCCGTAACGTTATTGATTTCATTTAGGACATACATGTATTAGCGCTAAAAGACGTGAGACGTTCTGGCGTTTAACAGTGGACACGTTTTGGCGAATAACAATTATCGGACACGTTTGGGGGTTATGAAATCGGACACGTTTGGGCAACATTGAATATTACGGACACGTTTGGGGGGAATATACACGTTTGGGGGAATCGGACACGTTTGGGGGGAAGGACACGTTTGGGAGTGTTACATATATATATATATATATATATCTTTTTCAAGAATCAGTCTTTATTTCACGTATATTGTCATGTATGAGAATCAATGTAACAAACTTGTCTTTGCAAAATGGATATTGATAAAGGCATAATAACGGAGCTTAAAATGGTGATAGTCAATCACATTTCTGAGAATTGAGAAGATTGACTTCTGAAATTGTGGGTAAAGGTTGATACATAATATTTTAAGCAAGTCGTTTGAAAATGAAAGAGTCACAATCAATTTTAAAAGATGTTATCTTTACCAATATTCTTCCACATATTCTGATCAAAATAAGTAAGAACGTGTAATTGATATCTGATATAATTACCTAAATCAACTTTCTTAGCAGTAGTTTTGTCCAGACTGATAATCCCTGTTGCAGAAGACATTGTATTAGGAATTTTTGGTATAGCCTCCTGCGATGTTACTTTTGGTTTCAGAGCCTCTGTTGATACTTTTGGTGTAGGAGCCTGTGTTGTTACTTTTGTTGTCTTAGCATTTGTTGTTACTTTCGATGTAGAAGACTGTGTTGATACTTTTGTTGTAGGAGACTGTGTTGATACTTTTGTTGTAGGAGACTGTGTTGTTATTTTTGTTGTAGGAGACTGTGTTGATACTTTTGGTGTAGAAGCCTGTGTTGATACTTTTGGTGTAGAAGCCTGTGTTGATACTTTTGGTATAGAAGACTGTGTTGATACTTTTGGTGTGGGAGCCTGTGTTGATACTTTTGGTGTAGAAGACTGTGTTGATACTTTTGGTGTAGAAGCCTGTGTAGATACTTTTGGTGTAGAAGCCTGTGTTGATACTTTCGGTGTAGGAGCCTGTGTTGATACTTTCAATGTAGAAGCCTGTGTTGATACTTTTGTTGTAGGAGACTGTGTTGATACTTTTGTTGTAGGAGACTGTGTTGATACTTTTGTTGTAGGAGAATTTGTTGAGACTTTTGATGTAGAAGCCTGTGTAGATACTTTTGGTGTAGAAGCCTGTGTTGATACTTTTGGTGTTGAAGCCTGTGTTGATACTTTCGGTGTAGAAGCCTGTGTAGATACTTTTGGTGTAGACGCCTGTGTTGATACTTTTGGTTTAGAAGCCTGTGTTGATACTTTTGGTGTAGAAGCCTGTGTTGATACTTTTGGTGTAGAAGCCTGTGTTGATATTTTTGGTGAAGAAGCCTGTGTTATTACTTTTGGTGGAGGAGACTGTGTTGATACTTTTGGTGTCGAAGCCTGTGTTGATACTTTTGGTGTAGAAGCCTGTGTTGATACTTTTGGTGTAGAAGCCTGTGTTGATATTTTTGGTGAAAAAGCCTGTGTTATTACTTTTGGTGGAGGAGACTGTGTTGATACTTTTGGTGTCAAAGCCTGTGTTGATACTTTTGGTGTAGAAACCTGTGTTGGTACGTTTGTCGTAGAAGCCTGTGTTGATACTTTTGGTGTAGGAGCCTGTGTTGATACTTTTGGTGTAGAAGACTGTGTTGATACTTTTGGTGTAGAAGCCTGTGTTGATACTTTTGGTGTAGGAACCTGTGTAGATACTTTCAATGTAGAAGCCTGTGTTGATACTTTTGTTGTAGGAGATCGTGTTGATACTTTTGTTGTAGGAGACTGTGTTGATACTTTTGTTGTAGGAGAATTTGTTGAGATTTTTGGTGTAGAAGCCTGTGTAGATACTTTTGGTGTAGAAGCCTGTGTTGATACTTTTGTTGTAGGAGACCGTGTTGATACTTTTGTTGTAGGAGACTGTGTTGATACTTTTGTTGTAGGAAATTTTGTTGAGACTTTTGGTGTAGAAGTCTGTGTAGATACTTTTGGTGTAGAAGCCTGTGTTGATACTTTCGGTGTAGAAGCCTGTGTTGATACTTTCGGTGTAGAAGCCTGTGTAGATACTTTTGGTGTAGAAGCCTGTGTTGATACTTTTGGTTTAGGAGCCTGTGTTGATACTTTTGGTGTAGAAGCCTGTGTTGATACTTTTGGTGTAGAAGCCTGTGTTGATATTTTTGGTGAAGAAGGCTGTGTTATTACTTTTGGTGGAGGAGACTGTGTTAATACTTTTGGTGTCGAAGCCTGTGTTGATACTTTTGGTGTAGAAACCTGTGTTGATACGTTTGGTGTAGAAGCCTGTGTTGATACTTTTGGTGTAGAAGCCTGTGTTGATACTTTCGGTGTAAAAGCCTGTGTAGATACTTTTGGTGTAGAAGCCTGTGTTGATACTTTTGGTTTAGGAGCCTGTGTTGATACTTTTGGTGTAGAAGCCTGTGTTGATACTTTTGGTGTAGAAGCCTGTGTTGATATTTTTATTGAAGAAGCCTGTGTTATTACTTTTGGTGGAGGAGACTGTGTTGATACTTTTGGTGTCGAAGCCTGTGTTGATACTTTTGGTGTAGAAACCTGTGTTGATGCGTTTGGTGTAGAAGCCTGTGTTGATACTTTTGGTGTAGAAACCTGTGTTGATACTTTTGTTGTAGAAGCCTGTGTTGATACTTTCGGTGTAGAATCCTGTGTTAATACTTTTGGTGTAGAAGCTTGTTTTGATACTTTTGGTTTAGAAGCCTGTGTTGATACTTTTGGTGTAGAAGCCTGTGTTGATACTTTTGGTGTAGAAGCCTGTGTTGATACTTTTGGTGTAGAAGCCTGTGTAGATACTTTTAGTGTTGAAACCTGTACATGTGTAGATACTTTTGGTTGAAGGGCCTGTGTTGATACTTTTGGTTTAGGAGCCTGTGTTGATACTTTTGGTATAGAAACATGTGTTGATACTTTTGGTGGAGGAGACTGTGTTGATACTTTTGGTGTGGAAGCCTGTGTTGATACTTTTGGTATAGAAGCCTGTGTAGATAGTTTTGGTGTAAAAGCCTGTGTTGATACTTTTGATGTAGAAGCCTGTGTAGATACTTTTGATATAGAAGCCTGTGTTGATACTTCCGGTGTTGAAGCCTGTGTTGATACTTTTAGTGTAGAAGCCTGTGTAGATACTTTTCGTGTAGAAGCCTGTGTTGATACTTTTGGTGTAAAAACCCTTGTAGATACTTTTGTTGGAGGAGACTGTATTGATACTTTTGGTGTAGAAGCCCGTGTTGATACTTTTGGTGTAGAAGCCTGTGTAGATACTTTTGGTGTAGAAGGCTGTGTTGATACTTTTGGTTTAGGAGCCTGTGTTGATACTTTTGGTGTAGAAGCCTGTGTTGATACTTTTGGTGTAGAAGCCTGTGTATATACTTTTGGTGTAGAAGCCTGTGTAGATACTTTTGGTGTAGAAGCCTGTGTTGATACTTTTGGTGTAAAAGCCAGTTTAGATACTTTTGGTTTAGGAGCCTGTGTTGATACTTTTGGTGTAGAAGCCTGTGTTGATACTTTTGGTGTAGAAGCCTGTGTTGATACTTTTGGTGTAGAAGCCTGTGTTGATACTTTTAGTGTAGAAGCCTGTGTAGATACTTTTGGTGTAGAAGCCTGTGTTGATACTTTTGGTGTAGAAGCCTGTGTTGATACTTTTGGTGTAGAAGCCTGTGTTGATACTTTTGTTGTAGAAGCCTGTGTAGATACTTTTGGTTTAGGAGCCTGTGTTGATACTTTTGGTGTAGAAGCCTGTGTTGATACTTTTGGTGTAGAAGCCTGTGTAGATACTTTTGGTTTAGGAGCCTGTGTTGATACTTTTGATGTAGAAGCCTGGGTAGATACTTTTGGTGTAGAAGCCTGTGTAGATACTTTTGGTGTAGAAGCCTGTGTAGATACTTTTGGTGTAGAAGCCTGTGTTGATACTTTTGGTGTAGAAGCCAGTTTAGATACTTTTGGTTTAGGAGCCTGTGTTGATACTTTTGGTGTAGAAGCCTGTGTTGATACTTTTGGTGTAGAAGCCTGTGTTGATACTTTTGGTGTAGAAGCCTGTGTAGATACTTTTGGTTTAGGAGCCTGTGTTGATACTTTTGGTGTAGAAGCCTGTGTTGATACTTTTGGTGTAGAAGCTTGTGTAGATACTTTTGGTTTAGGAGCCTGTGTTGATACTTTTGGTGTAGAAGCTTGTGTTGATACTTTTAGTGTAGAAGCCTGTGTAGATACTTTTGGTTTACGAGCCTGTGTTGATACTTTTGGTGTAGAAGCCTGTGTTGATACTTTTGGTGTAGAAGCCTGTGTTATTACTTTTGGTGGAGTACACTGTGTTGGTACTTCTGGTGTAGAAGCTTGTGTTATTACTTTTGATGTAGAAGCCTGTGTTGATACTTTTGGTGTAGAAGCCTGTGTTGTTACTTTTGGTGTAGAAGCCTGTGTAGATACTTTTGGTTTAGGAGCCTGTGCTGATACTTTTGGTGTAGAAGCTTGTGTAGATACTTTTGGGGTAGAAGCCTGTGTTGATATTTTTGGTGTAGAAACCTGTGTTGATACTTTAGGTGAAGAAACCTGTGTTGATACCTTTGGTGTAGAAGCCTGTGTTGATACTTTTGGTGTAGAAGCCTGTGTAGATACTTTTATTTTAGGAGCCTGTGTTGATTCTTTTGGTGTAGAAGCATGTGTTGATACTTTTGGTGTAGAAGCCTGTGTCGATACTTTTGGTGTAGAAGCCTGTGTAGACACTTTTGGTTGAGGAGCCTGTATAGATACTTTTGGTTTAGGAGCCTGTGTAGATGCTTTTGGTGTAGAAGCCTGTTTTGATACTTTTGGTGTAAAAGCTTGTGTTGATACTTTTGGTGTAGAAGCCTGTGTTGATACTTTTGGTGTAGAAGCCTGTGTAGATAATTTTGGTTCAGAAGCCTTTGTTGATACTTTTGGCGTAGAAGCCTGTGTTGATACTTTTGGTGTAGAAGCCTGTGTAAATACTTTTGATGTAGAAGTCTGTGTCGATACTTTTGGTTGAAGAGCCTGTGTTGATACTTTTGGTGTAGAAGAGTGTGTTGATACTTTTGGTGTAGAAGTCTGTGTAGATACTTTTGGTTTAGGAGCCTGTATAGATACTTTTGGTGTAGAAGTCTGTGTAGATACTTTTTGAATAAAAGCCTGTGTTGATACTTTTGGTGTAAAAGCTTGTGTTGATACTTTTGGTGTATAAGCCTGTGTTGATACTTTTGGTGTAGAAGCCTGTGTAGATACTTTTGGTTCAGCAGCCTTTGTTGATACTCTTGGCGTAGAAGCCTGTGTTGATACTTTTGGTGTAGAAGCCTGTGTAAATACTTTTGATGTAGAAGCCCGTGTTGATACTTTTGGTGTAGAAGCCTGTGTTGATACGTTTGGTGTTGAAGTCTGTGTCGATACTTTTGGTTGAAGAGCCTGTGTTGATACTTTTGGTGTAGAAGAGTGTGTTGATACTTTTGGTGTAGAAGTCTGTGTAGATACTTTTTGAATAAAAGCCTGTGTTGATACTTTTGGTGTAAAAGCTTGTGTTGATACTTTTGGTGTAGAAGCCTGTGTTGATACTTTTGGTGTAGAAGCCTGTGTTGATACTTTTGGTGTAGAAGCCTGTGTTGATAGTTTTGGTGTAGAAGCCTGTGTTATTGCTTTTGTTGGAGGAGCCTGTGTTGTTTTGTTTGGCGTGAGTGCCTGTGTAATTACTTCTAATTTAGGAAAATTTGATGTGTTGACTTTCAGTGCCTGATTCTGTTCATGTATCTTTTTCATCTTTTCAGAGTGAGCATCTATAATTCAAAAACGTACCTATCATAATTTAATATATAGTAATTTAGGAACAAAATAGTCAACGGATGAACATACAAATATTTTAAGAAATCAATTTCTAAGCCTACCTTATTCAAAACGATTATTATTGACAGAATTTGTTGTCATTGATGGTCATCATTTGCTTAACAAATGATCTTGTTTTTCATTGATCATTTTGAACCTTGCTTCTTTAAATATACCACAAGTGAGAGAAGTTTTAAAAAAGATTTGTACCACTATGTACCCATCTTTGTTTCATGTAGTTCCATATTAGAAAAGTACTTCTGACGTATGTAATTTATAAATTGTTGTTTTCATTATTGTTTGCCAGCATAGATAACTGGGGGAAAGCGGCTGTTCGTAACGTACGGCCCAATATGGCAGATGACCGTACCGGTAAGATTTTATATTTCCTAAATACTTTTGATCAAAAGCATTGTTGTTAGAGAAAATTGGTAAAAGTCTGTATAATATGTAGGACAACACGAATATCAAGCGTTCGGGAGATAGAATATCTAAATAATGGTTTTATACGACGGTATAAAAACTAGAAGCCGTACGTAACTTTAAGAATGAAAATTAAAAAAAAGTCGTTCGTAACGGATTTTACGGCCGTGCGTAACTTATTTATAATTTTATTGATTTGTCAACTGTATACTGAAAACTGCTTTCAATTTAACAATGTTAATGCACATATTGCGCTGTTTTTTAAATACGGACAAGTCGTGGAATACGGATACAAAATAAAATAATATTTACGGAAGTTTCCGGTCATTAATATGATTTATTTCCGTGACAAAATTACTGTAGATAAGTAAGATCTATACATATTTCTTAATGAGCTTAATTTGCATTTACAATCCAGACACTTTACTACTTTATTTTTGTTTATTTGCCTGCCCACAGTCCCTACCCTAAGTTATTGTTATGTTTACATACTTTTGGGAGTAGAATTTATCTTCTATAATATTTTTTTTCCTAAATCCCCTTGAAGAAAAAAATGTGTGGAAAATATGTTCTACAGACTGAATGCTAGATTTAATGCCTTACGTTTTTCTGTAGAAAAGATTGATAATCTAGTCTTAGATGCATGGTTTTTTTATTAGTTGGTATTGCTTTGAACTAGCTGGCAGTTACTGCGAGTACTCTCAGATCTGTACTTAGTGTCTTTTTGTTGGGATGTACAAGTACCCTGCCACGTTCACTCTGCTTCTTGTTAGATGTTTTTGAATTTGTATCCGTCTGATGATTTAAGCCTTTTCAACTGATTTTTATTGTTCGTTCTTATGTTGTTGAAGTTCTAAATTTTCATATCATTATTATTACCATTATTATTCTGATAATAAATATAATAAATTTATATGAATATTTTTACACTGTTTTCAGAAAATTGATCGTCTTTAAATTTAAAATAATATTGTATATCCTTGTTCATTTAGAATGTCTCCCTGCATGAACAGCATCCCGGGTAAATACCTGATACTGATGTTTTACATATATAAATGTATCTAATTAATTTGGTATAGATTTGTATGTCTACGGAAAATGAACGTGAACATCTAGAAATAAAAAAAAAATAATTGACACTCATGTTATTTCTTGTTATTTAACAAACCACTGATATAAACATGATGTTCAATACAAACTTACGGAAGCTGTGTATAATTGCACTTCAAGTATTTCCCTATTCCTATGCATATTAATTAAAATGATTTTGCCTTGTATTTATGGTTCTTTTCTTAACTAAATCATAACCGAATTTAATGACAGACAGACATATATACAAAACCTGGTGAAAATTGAAATCAAGATGTTTGCGTTAAAACGCAAAGGTTTGCCTTATTTCGCAAAGGTTTGCGTTAGTTCGCAAAGGTTTGCGTTATAACGCAATGATAGGAGGAACAATATTTAAAAAAAAATATGCTTATCTAGGGTACAACATTTTTGATTTTTCAGGGGGGGGGGGGGGGGATGGGGAGGGGAGGGGGGGGGGGACAAATTGTGCGCGGAGATTTGTTTTCAAATATCAACAATATTTGAATACGGATATATTGCCATATCATGCCCGTTCTTTTTCACAAGATTAAGCCAACAATATTAAGCCATCATTTGTTTCATCAAAAATGTTCATTCTGCCTTTTTATTTGGAATTCATTCTATACCCCTATAAACTTTTTTCTATGTAACGTTTCTTTTCAAGACTTTTGCCCAATGCATGAGCATATTTGAGTTGTTTGTTGTTGGAATTTTATAGAATAAAATGCAAAAGATGCAGATTTATCCATAATTAATTTCTTAATGAGAAGAAAAATTAGCAAATGAATAAATGGTGATTCTGTATCTTTTGTATTTTATTTTTATTTATCTTTTAAATTATTTAAAATCCAACCACATACTATGTAAAAAAATGTTTTACATGGCAAAAATAGCGTCAAATAAAAATTACGAATAACTTTGTATAATATTTATTTTTAGATGTCTATTGGGAAGGTAGTGTTTTCTTATATATGTATGCATTACCATCCGAATTATCTGTCTGATCTCTATTCAATGCTCTGTTTTATGTAGTAAAATGTCTTTCTGTTACTTGTCAAATAAAATAACAATACAACATTTCGAAGTGTACATTTTGTTGATGTAGTAAGAATACAACTTCAATTTCTTTTGGTTCCAAAATACATGTCATAAAGTCATATACGTTATGCGCTTAAGTTTTCTTTTTTTAACGTTACGAACAGCCGTTCTATATAAATACTTTACGTTACGAACGACTACATTCAAAGTTACGTACGGCTTCTTGTTTTTTTTTACCGTCGAATAAAAAAGTATTTAGGAAATATAAAATCTTATCGGTACGGTCATCTGACATATTGGGCCGTACGTAACGGAAGTTACGAACAGCCACTTTCCCCAAGTTATCTATGCTGGCAAACAATAATGAAAACAACAATTTATAAATTACATAAGTCAGAAGTGATTTTTTAATATTGAACTACATGTAATAATGTTTCCGCTTTCTCCGATCTCCAAGTACCTGGTAATTTACCTCAGTATACATCAGCGATATGGTTTTATATGTTATCCTTGACTGATTAATTTATCAAATAACTGGCTGGCCTTTTATAGCCGACTATACGGTATGGTTTTTTTTTTATTGTTGAAGGCTGTACGGTTGCCTATAATTGCTTACATTTTACTAAATTCTAACTTTGGTGAATGATTGTCTAATTGGCAATCAATTTAAACCCACCTCCTTGTTCTAATATCAACTGATTATAAATTAATTTCGTTTTGATAAAATGAAAAACAATGTACTTACAACTAACAACCAAGAGACACACTATTACTATATACACGGCGCAGTTCTTCATAGTATAAGCCTAGAATAATAATAGGTATGGTTAAGTAACAATAAAAACCTTACATTTACTTTACTAGCCACATCATATCAAACAAACAGCTTCAGTAAACTGTAACTGTAAAATCAAGGGTGTACATAAAATATTCAATGTTTAACCTTTATTGTTTTTATGTTTTATTTTTAACGAATTTTCTTTAGGTCAAGTTATGAAATTTCAGAGCTCAGTTACTAATTTAATTTAATCAAAATATCTCCAAGAATAAATATTTGACTTGTTGATGTTATTTAAGAATGACTGAGACTACTGTACAGTATTATATCACATTATTAAACCTCATTTTTCATTTTCCATATAAAATAAGAACACAACATTTTCACTATTTTTCATATTGTAAGCGTTGAACTATTGGACCGGTCAAAGTTTCAAACTATTTGACCTCAATGAAACTATTTGACCGCAAGCGTCATTATATTTCGCAGAATTTCAACTGCATCTACGGGATAGGAGAATGTTGAGAATACCGCGGCAGTTACATTTAACCTATTGTATTTAGGGTTGACGTCAGTGCGGGACGTAGCCTTAGTATTCAGAATATATATGAAGTAAACGTTAAACAGTTTGGTTGTGTTTCTGCTTTAATATTACGATAGTTGATTTAGCCCCGATATTCATTTTGTATTTTCTCTTTCGGTATAAGGAAAAACTAAATGACTGGATATTCTAGGAATACCAAGTTTATTGTTCTCTTGCATACAACTATTGCTACGACTCAGGGCAAAAGTTGCATATCGGAGGACAATAAACTTACTATTCCACGCATACCCAGTCAATAAGTATAAAATATATTCATTTAAGTAGCCGTGTTTGATAGTTAACCTCTTTTAGCATACTAGTGGCTTCCTCATAGAATTCTTATTTATGCTGAAATAGCAACTTAATTGGAATTTGTTATTATAATTTTATAGTTGTTGTTGTACATGTCGGATTATTACTAAATGTCTTTTTTTTTATAAACTCGGAGAGATCCTAAGGGCCTTTGCCGAAAAAAAAAGTACCACACAAACAAGAGATTAATGTGTAAACATGATTTTTAGTATGCGCATTAAAACATTTGATTTTTAATATATCGTATACATAATAATATACACAGAACTAATCAACAGGCAGAGCCTATAAAAGCTCTCTAGACATTACGGTGACGTCCTCATTTCTCGTACATGTTCATATTACATTTTAAAAAAGACACATAAGGCAGGTATTGCACACAGTCGTTCCCGTCTTTCATTATCGACAAAGATAATGAATGCAAATTCATTCTATTCCTGATAGCTGAAAACAATTTGAGAAAAATAATGAGGATACACGATCAGGAACTACAACTACAACATTAAAAGGGTCAAGATGAAGTCCTTCATTTCTTTATTATATACTATTTTTCTCTATTCGTTCATTGTGTTGACCAATATACTCTATTCTGTACATTTCAGCACGCCATTTTCTCTTATTTAAATTTTTGGCCTATTGTTGTCTATTTTCTTATAATATTTGCCCTTTCTTCTGCTCGTGTTGTCCCTTATTCTCTATTATGTAAAGCTCGTA